TAGAAATAGACGAGTATTCAGAAAAAGGAAGGCATCTCATTCCATGGTGGTTAATGTAAACCAAAAATACATTATCAGACTCCCAACCATCTGAATACACCCTTCCTCTCAGCTGATGGCATTCCAAAGTTAACCTGAAAAACTAGTTCAGGCCATGAGGGGAAGGGAGCGGGGACATCCTCATTACACCCTCCTGCCTTTCAGAAATTAGGCACAACCAGCCAGTGTTAACATAAGACTGATAGAGCAGCTTTTAACTCTGCTAAGAGACACTGACAATCTATTGTCTCTGAAGCTTACTACCTGGAGGCTTCCTCTGTGTAATAACCCAGGTCTTCATAATCCCGTATCTTAACCCAGACACTTCCAGGTCTTTAGATAAACTCTTTCAACCAATTGCCAATGAAAAATGCTTGAATCCACCTGTGACCTAGAAGCCACCCCATCCCATTCCAGTTCTCCTTCCTTTCCAAACCAAAACAATACACATCTGACATATGTTGATTGATGTCTCATATCTCCCTAAAATGTACCAAACAGCAACCTGAGCACCTTGGGCATATGTTCTCACCATTTCCTGGGGCTGTGTCCCAGGACATCAGTCACTCATTTTGGCTCAGAATAAATCTCTTCAAGTATTTTACAGAGTTCGACTCTTCATAGACATTACAGAGAAAGTTTAATCAGGAGAGAGGATACCAGTGATCTTTTTGGATGTGGCTTTTGTTTTTGTTTTGTTTTTGAGATGGAGTTTCACTCTTGTCACCCAGGCTGGAGGGCAATGGCACGATCTCGGTTCACTGCAACTTCCGCCACTCAGGTTCAAGCGATTCTCCTGCCTCAGCCTCCTGCATAGCTGCAATTATGGGCGTGTGCCACCACGCCAAGCCGATTTTTGTATTTTTAGTAGAGACGGGTTCTCAACAACGTTGTTCAGGCTGCTCTTGAACTCCTGACCTCAGGTGATCTGCCCTCCTGGGCCTCCCAAGGTGCTCGGATTATAGGCATGAGCCACTGCACCCAGCCTGGATGTGGTTTTTGTACGTGATAAGAGGTAGGATTTCTGTGGTTTACAGAGTTTAAAGCAACAGCCACAAAACCAGAAACGGTGAGACTAGAACACTCGCTGAGGACTTTAGCAGTGAAACGGGACATAAAATAAGACCCCAAGGTCTAGGAGGGTGGCAAAACCAAAGCACACAAGAGTATTTGGTGGATTTTGTTCCTAAAAGGATGGTGGATATGAGAATGTTAGAGAGTGGCTGGGTGCAGTGGCTTACACCTGAAATCCCAGCACTTTGAGAGGCTGAAGACGGCGGATCACGTGAGGTCAGGAGTTTGAAACCATCCTGGCCAACATGGAGAAACTCTGTCTCTACTAAAAATATAAAAATTAGCCGGGTATGGTGGCAGGCACCCATAGTCCCAGCTACTTGGGACTTCAACCTGAGAGGCAGAGTTTGCAGTGAGCTGAGATCGCACCATGGCACTCCAGCCTGGGTGGCAGAGCAAGACACCATTTCAAAAAAAAAAGAATGTTTGAAAACAAATGGAGAAAGATAGTGGAAAGGTTGAAACGGAGCCTCCTTTTAGAGTTAGATTACAATAATGTTTCCTACCGTGGCTGCCCATTTTTATCCATCTTACCCACTGCTGGATTGAGTCTCTCTAAGGATTAGTCTCTCTCCTGCTCTAGAACAGCCATGACTCAAGGACCCTCTCTCCACTTTCCCCGTCAGGCACTGGCCCATTATCCAAGCTCATTTATAGCCCATGCATCTTTGTGTTTGGGGATTGGAGGTGGTGTTTAAAAATGCTATTGTGTGGCCGGATATGGTGGCTCACACCTGTATTCCTAGCACTTTAGGAGGCCGAGGCAGGCAGATTACTTGAGGTCAGGAGTTTGAGACCAGCCTGGCCAGCATGGCGAAACCCCGTCTCTACTAAAAATATAAAAATGAGCCGGGCATGTGGCGGTCGCCTATCATCTAAGCTACTCAGGAGGCTGAGGCAGGAGAATTGCTTGAATCCAGGAAGCAGAGGTTGCAGTGAGCCGAGATCGTGCCATTGCACTCCAGCATGGAGGACAAGAGTGAAACTGTCTCAAAAAAAAAAAAAAAATACTATTGTGTGGTATTTAATACATTAAAAAGGCATAAACAATAAAACAAATGCCTATGTTCCCACTACCCAGCTTAAAAAATACAACTTGGCTATTTGAAATCTAGTGTGTTCCTGATTGCATCCCCACCAGGGCTAGCCCTGGACTGAATTTGGAGGTTATCATTCTCATACATCTCTGACCGTTTGTACTACACATGCAGAACCACGTAGAGCAGGACGGCACCTTAAATTGCACTTGTTTGCATTTCTGCTTGTATAAAACTTTCTACAGCTTTTTTTCCTCCTGGTGTCATTTCCGTGCGACCCTCCCGTATTGATAGGTGTACCTCTGCTTCACTCTTTTCGCCGCTGGGTTTTATTTTTTCTTGTTTCTCTTGTTGCTTGCTTTTTTTTTTTTTTTTTTTTTTTTTTTGAGACCAAGTCTTGCTCTGTCACCCAGGCTGGAGTGCAGTGGTGGAGCAGGCTAGGCTGTCTGCAACCTCTGCCTCCCATGCTCAAGCGATCCTCCCACCTCAGCCTCCTGAGCAGCTGAGACTACAGGCATGCACCACCACAGCAGGCTAACTTTTTAATTTTTACTAGAGATGAGGTTTCACCATGTTAGCCAGGCTGGTCTCAAACTCCTGAGCTCAAGCAATCCGCTTGCCTCAGCCTCCCACACTTTGGGGTTACAGACGTGAGCCACCATGCCTGGCCCTGTTGTTGCTTATATTATTCAGTGATTAAAAGTGCAGGCTGCAGAATCAGATGATGTGAGCTCAAATCCTATTTCTACCGCTGCAGGCAACATACTTGACATTTCTGTGGCTCCATTTCCTCTTTTATAAAAGAGATGATACTAACGCTCTCCTCCCTCTGTTGTGGCTGCTAGAACTAAATGGCACAGCTCCCGCCCAAGCCTCGGAATGATGCCTGCCCTATAAAAGTACTCACTCACCAGCGACTCTTATTCTTTTTCCATCCACATGACTGCCAGGAAAACCAAGCTAAGAACTAAGGTCAGAACGACATGCTCTACTCAAAAATCTCAGGCAAAATGTCAGATCAACAATACCAAGTACTTTCTGGTACCTTAGAATGAAAATCAGTTTTTAAAACTACCAATTATTGTATCCATCTGTTACAATAAATCAAGCCATCTTTCCCATTTACATAAATCATTCAGTTATTTCCCAAACCATTTATCTTGGAGAAATATTTTTAACTTGAAAAGATTTTCCGGCTGGGGATGGTGGCTTACGCCTGTAATCCCAGCACTTTGGGAAGCCGAGGTGGGTGGATCACCTGAGGTCAGGAGTTTGAGACCAGCCTGACCAACATGGAGAAACCCCATCTTAAAAAAAAAAAAAAAAAAAAAAGGATTTTCCATTTGCAGGCTCCTACAGATGGAACATGGTCAGGGCTTGACTAGAGTAACTTAAAAGGCAAACATAGCATTAGCATGGCTGTGACTAATGGCAACAATATGTGCCACCACCTCATCACCAGGACTCCGAGCCAGCCACGGCACCTTCTGGATTTTCTTGGCCCGCTTATTTGGCCCCAGTGTGTCAGAATGTTCGCTATCAACATCACCAAGTATTGTAGCAAAACATCAATTTCAAAATGGGACTTGAAGAAGATGGCTTGTGAATGAATTGGATTTGTATTGTATTCTCTCACCAATTCATTAAATATCCGGACATCTAATCCCGTGTAGAACGGCAACACTTCATAGTATGTGCTATTTTGAATTACAAAATATTAGCTCAAAACTCTTGATTACCTTTATGATGTAGATTATGTTTCTGAGTGTTTTTCAATACAAAGCATATTAGTCACACATTCAAAATGTGAATGGAAATTGCTATGTTCATTTGTCTGGCTTTGGAAAGAGCGAGTTTTTACGTTTTTTCCTTGTTAGTGGTTTCCATCGGCATAACTATGAATCATTCTTCTGAAAAAGAGGTTATCCCAATGCAAACACATCTCATGTTTTGTTCCTTTCCAGCAGGAAAGTATGTGTCCCTTTAGTTGAGAGAATGATTTGGGGAAACTAACCGAAAAAAAAAAATTCTGGCCATCTGAAGTCCATCCATATCACATGCCAAGAGGCTTGGCTACAGTCTCACTTCTTCCAGCTTGAGCCCGTGCATTTACCAACACACTCCTTAGCATTTACTATCAAGCACAGAATGGGCAAGACTTTCCCTAAATAAGGAAGCAACTCATTATCAAAAGACTAAATGTCTAGAAAAAGAAATAAGCCAAGCTATCTCATAAAACAGTAAATGTTATGCATACTGATGATATCCACAATATCAATAATAGCGGCATCATACAGTGTATAAATCATTCTCATCCTTTTTTTTTTTTTTTTTTTTGAGAAGTTTCACTCTCTCACCCAGGCTGGCGTGATCTCAGCTCACTGCAACCTACATGTCCCAGGTTCAAATGATTGTCCTGCCTCAGCCTCCCAAGTAGCTGGGATTACAGGCATGGACCACCATGCCTGGCTAATTTTTGTATTTTTAGTAGAGATGGGGTTTCACCATGTTGGCCAGGCAGGTCTCGAACTTCTGACCACAAGTGATCCACCTGCCTTGGCCTCCCAAAGTACTGGGTTACAGATGTGAACCACTGCACCCGGCCTCTCATTTTATTAAGAGGTTGGTCTGAATTCATCAGATTCCTCTGGCTAGACAAACGGTAGAGCCTCCTACACTAAAAATTCCTCCTCCCTCCTTGATTCCTGGCAAAATGCAAATTAAAGCTCATCTTCTCTTTCCTTTCTGGTTCCAAGTCTTTAATTCTCAGGAGCTTATCCAGAATGCTCCCAGCACAAACCTCAACTGACCAGTGTTCAGCTACGCAATGGGCCAGGGAAACCTACTTACTTCTTAGAGCGTATTCTCTGGGCTTCACTGAATTCAGATCGGAAAGGAATTCATCAGTATCTTGCATGCACTTCAGAGAAATGTTTCTTACAGAAAAAACGAAAGGAAATTGAAAAGATAGCAGGCAAAATAGTAGAGTCAGGCCCATCACTGTCTCCTGACCTGTTAGGCTAAGCGTCATGTCTTAGACAAAGAGCCTTATATTTATGAAACGCTAGTCTATAATATGCCGTGAGTGAATGCGACACGCTTGCTCCTTAACAGGCAGAGACAAACTGCGTCTCTCAGCCACCTGCAAAGCGGCCGAGATGAACAAGCCATGGAAACCAATTTATACACAATTTGTTATTGTTGAGTAACATAGCACTGTGGATGTGGGGGCCGCTGACCACCTGGCTTCCTTTAGTTATGCAGATTCACATTTCCAGTTGACATGAATGATGCTGGATCTTCTCTGGTTAGATGGCCTGGTGTACGTCTCTGGGTTTCAAAAATATAGTGACTATGTTAAGTAGCAATATTTGGCTTTTGTCCAAGAAGGATGATGAATTGTAAAACATTTGGATGAATGATAAGCAAAGAAGGGCTTCTCCGTGATGGTCTTTGTAGAACAGGCATCTGCTAAAGCACGTGCTGGACTTTGCAAGTGGTACCAGCGTGGGAGCGTTGAACTCCCCCACGGGAAGGAAGTTGTTGCAGTAAGGCAGATACGCACATGCAGCCCACACGTGGGAGTTTAGAAAACACATCCTGGCAAGTCCGATGCTGACGAAGGACCATGGGAATGGTACGCAGCTACTTTAAGCAAACGTAAAACGTGTCGATCTGGATTTCTCACGGTGTAAATACTCTTTTTCCACAGAGCCTTTCTTTAAATAGTAACTTCCCTATCTCCATTTAAAACGAGAAGCAGTTTCTGTCGATCTTGTTTACACGGCCGGAACACATCTGCACTTGTGGGTGGCTGTGACTCAGTTGTACTTCCTGCTGCCAGTTGGCTTCAGAGAGTCTTCTAGCATCCCAGACTACCCCTAGTAATGCACACCCCACTGGACTCTCACCGCTGTTCCTTTGTTTATGCCCTGCGCTCTCTCGGGAGCACCCTTCTCCCAGCTCCCCTCCTGCTGGGCATCCTCGTCTACTCCTATCTATTATTCTAAGTAGGTGTGGGCTCTTCCAGGAAGCCTTTCTGGGCTTCCCCTCTGGTGGGAGTGGGCTTTGAGAATAGCCTGTTCTCTCTGCTGCCTAATCCCTTCGCACACTCCCTTTACTCCTCACTCTTCTCTATTCCTGCCTCCTTTTCTCCTATAGACCAGAAGCTCCAGGAGGGCAGGCACTGTGCTCTTTTAAGTCTCCTGGGATTTCTCAGGCCTTCTGGGTAGTGATTAAGAGCCAAAGCTGTTTGTTGCTGGCTGTGTGACCTAGAGCAATTGTGCTGTCTCATTGGTCTTATCTTGAAAATGAAGATAATCATAGTCTCTACACCTTGGGATTATGAAATTTAAACGATATATTTAAAGCATTAAAAGAAGGCCAAGTGTGGTCATTTATTCCTGCAATCCCAGCACTTTGGGAGGCCAAAGCAGGAGGATTGCATGAACCCAGGAGTTAGAGGTTACAGTGAGCTATGATTATACCACTGCACTCCAGCCTGCACGTCACAAGATTTTTAGACAAGATTCTATGTCTAAAAAATTTTTTAAAGTACTGAAAGAGCCTTGGTGTAGTGGCTCACATCTATAATCCCAGCATTTTGAGAGGCTGAGGCGGGAGGATCACTTGAGCCCAGGAGGTCAGCCAGCCTGGGCAACATGGTGAGACCCCTGTCTCTACCAAAAATTTATAAAATTAGCCAGACATAGTGGCATGCACCTGTAGTCCCAGCTACTCAGGAGGGCTGAGGTGGGGTGATTGCCTGAGGCCAGGAGGTCGAGGCTGCAGTGAGCTGTGTTTGTGCTATGGCATGGCAGCCTGGACAAGAGGGCAAGACCCTGTCTCAAAAAAACAAAAGGTATCAAAAGAGTTCCCGGCCTGTTATAAATACTCAAGAAATACTATGTATTGTCTTAATATTCTAAATGCCCACTACATACCTACATACCTGGCAGATACATAGATATAGATATAGATACGTATATATAGATATATCAATGTCTATATATATAGACATAGCAGTTCTCTAGTAGTCAGAACTACTCCAAGATATACTGGGGCTCTTTCAAATGACATCAGAGTCTCTAGCCTTGGAGGTGCTCAGCTCTTACATACCTGGCAGATACATACATATAGATATATCTGTGTCTATATATATGTATCTGGCAGGTATATATATCTGCCAGATGTATATCTGGTGTATGTCTCTGGGTTTTAAAAATATAGTGACTATGTTAAGTGTCAATGTTTGGCTTTTGTCCAAGAAGGATGATGAACTTGTGAGACATTTGGATGAATGATGAGCAAAGAGAGCTTCTCCTTGATGGTCTGTGTAGAACCGCATCTGCTAAAGCACGTGCCAGACAGACTCTGAGAGTGGTACCAGCGTGGGGGCGTTGAACTCCCCCACGGGAAGGAAGTTCACAGACACACTAGATATACCGACATAATGTATCTACAAGGGGACATTGCAGTATCTGACCTTTTGTAGACCCTTAATAAATAGTAGCTACTGCGGCAACTTAGGACTTTTTGCTCTCGGCTTAAAGAAAAAAGCATTCAGGCACACAAGCTGAAATAGCTAACACACTATTAGGTAAACAGTTCCTGAAAAACCAGTTATCTAGATCCAAGTTACAAAGGTGGCACCTTCAAAACAGGGAATTCTCTAGTAGTCAGAACCTCTCCAAGATGTACTGGGGCTCTTTCAAATGACATCAGAGTCTCTAGCCTTGGAGGTGCTCAGCTTAGGCCACAAATGAAGGCATTAGAAAGATTCAAGCCTCAGATGGTCCTTGTACAAATTACGTTTCAGGTCTCCTCTAACTTTGAAATCCTCTGTGTCTATCGAAAGTATTTTCAGGCGGGCACAGTGGCTCACACCTCTAATCCCAGCACTCTGGAAGGCCAAGGCAGGCAGATTACTTTGAGCTCAGGAGTTCAAGACCAGCCTGGGCAACATGGCGAAACCTCATCTCTATAAAAGACAAAAAAAACAAAAAGCATTTTTTACCATTAATGTGTTGGCTATTAAACACCTCTGAAGGTGTTGTCTAATTGAAATAGACCTTGGAATTTCAATGCAAAAATTAATAACAGCATCCAACTTGGAATAAATAGAGAAATCAACAACGTGTAGGAAAAATGAAACCGAATTTGGTGCCAGAAACCAGGGTTTAAGTTCTGGCTCTTACAAAAGCGGATTCAGTTTCCCTATCTGTAAAATTACAAACTCAGCCTAGTTCACACAATTGTGTTGTAGTATGAACTTAAAGCTCATGATACGAAAGCATTTATAGACTCCCGAGTCATAAATACGTATTTGTTAGCATTGGAGCTCTCGCCGCCAAGCTGCTTTTTGGATTTGGTTTTGTTTGTCTTAACTATCTTTCTCCGTTAGGAAAAGGTGGGAGCGGGGTCGGAAAAAACTAGAGGTTTAGATAATTTGAATACAGTCGGCCCTTTGTATCTGGTGGTCTCAAATCCATGGATTGAACCAATGGTGGAAAGAAAATATTCAGAGGGGGAAAAAAAAAACCAACTTTTAAAAATACAAAGACGGTATAGTGTAAGAACTACTTACATGGTATTAGGTATTATAAGTACTCTAGGGATGATGTAAAGGATAGGAGAGAATGTGCATAGATCAAAGGCAAATACTAGACCATTTTATATCAGGGAGTATCAGTGGATTTTGGTATCCACAGGAAGTGGGTCTGGAACTTACCCACTGCCAGCACCGAGGGAAGTCTGTCTGAATGATTAAACAGAAAAATCTCTGAAACTTGGATTTATTCCCAGGTTAATTGCTGATGTCATATAGTCACAGAAAGTAAGAATGACATTGCTTTTAGAATTCAGCATTAAATACTCATCTTTTCTCAAGTGGGGAAAATATATGATGAGCAGAACCCACCTCCACATTTTTTTTTTCTTTTTTCTTCTTTTTTTTTTTTTTGATGGAGTCTAGCACTGTCGCCCAGGCTAGAGCCCAATGGGGCAATCCCGGTTGACTGCAACCTCTGCCTCCCGGGTTCAAGCAATTCTCCTGTCTCAGCACCCCCGAGTAGCTGGGACTACGGACTCCTGCCACCACGCCTGACTAATTGTTGTATTTTTAGTGGAGATGAGGTTTCACCTTGTTGGTCAGGCTGGTCTCGAACTCCTGATCTCAGGTGATCCACCTGCCTCGGCCTCCCAAAGTGCTGGGATTACAGGTGTGAGCCACTGCACTCAGCCCACATTTTAATCATTAGTAATAAAAACCACTTAAGATGGTTTTAAAATATCTACCTAAAAAGGAAAAAGAGGACCTTACTTCTGGGTAATTAATAGCTCAAGATCCTTCTAATGTTTGTCCTAACCCCTAGGAAAAAAATATTCTGACTAATCAAGGCTCAAGGAAACTCAGTCATTTTACAAAAATATTTTAGGCACCAGTTTTGTTTTTTGCAAGCAGTTTACTGGGCATAAAAACAGGACATGAAAATAAATAATGCTTTCATTTCCTGAAAGCAGGCCTGTAACATTTCCGGAAGCAGCAGGAATCAGCTGGCCAGTGCTACTATTTATGTCACGGTCATTTTATTCAAGTAACTAGCTATTGAAAAAAAAAGGGGGGGCATTAGGCCTCCCATCACTTGGCAGTGGGTTTGAGAAAACAAGAATCAGTCTTTACTGTCAAGAATACGGATTGAAGGGGAAAATGTAACTAATACCCACTGCTCTCAAGCTCTAAATAAAGAATGCCTATTGCAATGAGAGGAAATGGCAATTTCAGATTAGAAAGCAAGCAGGGAGTTCATGGAAAATCTTGAACCAATGGTGGAAAGAAAATATTCAGAGGGAAAAAAATAAAACTTTTAAAAAGACAATATAGTATAACAACTACTTACATGGTATTAGGTATTGTACGTACTCTAGAGATGATTTAGACTATATGGGAGAACGCGTAGATTATAGGCAAATATTAGACCATTTTAAATCAGGGAGAATCAGTGGATTTTGGGATCCACAGGAAGTGGATAGGCTAGGCGTGGTGGCTTACACCTGTAATTCCAGCACTTCGGGAGACCAAGGAGGGTGGATCGTGAGGTCAAGAGATTGAGACCTTCCTGGCCAACATGGTGA